ACGGGGCTCAAACCCACAGACTGTGAGATCATGACCTGAGCCGAAGTCGGACGCTCAACCGACTGAGCCATCCAGGCGTCCCTCAACTCACTTTTTTTTAAGTGTATTTATTTTGAGAGAGAGAGAGAAAGCAGGGCAGAGAAAGAGGGAGAGAGAGAATCCCAAGCAGGTTCCACACTGTCAGTGTGCGGAGCCTGATGTGGGGCTCAGACTCATGAACTGTGAGATTGTGACCTGAACCAAAATCAAGAGTCAGTTGTTTGACTGAGCCACCCAGGCACCACTCAACTCACTATTTTTAATTGAAAAAAATGTTAATAGAAGTCATGATGAAAATTCCTAACTAGACAGATAACCAGCTCCTTTTATGTTTTATCTAACATTCTATTAGAACCAAAACCAGGTGGTAGAACACCGTAGTTGACTTCATTGCATTTAAGCTATAATCTTTCAGGACTTGGTGCATTTAAGAATAAAATATGTATATATGGCAGGCTTTAAAGCACTTATTCCTTGCTATGAAATAGTTAATTACTTAATGTCTGTCATTTGCATATTTAAATAAAGGATTTGCTGTGTATCTCCTTTCCTTCGTTCAGGTGGATATACTCGGTTGCAGGGGGGTCGTTGGAGTGATAGCAGAGCCCTCAGCTGTGTAGAACGTTTTGACACCTTTAGCCAGTACTGGACCACTGTGTCTTCACTTCATCAGGCTCGATGTGGGCTGGGAGTAGCAGTTCTGGGAGGGATGGTTTACGCTATTGGAGGTAATAATGAAAATGTCTTCTTTCTGTTATTAGTCTCTAGCCATAAGTTGGCTGTATATATGCCTTATGTATATTGTTAGGTACTATGGGGTATACATAGATATGATTGTGTTCCATAAATATTTAATGAATAAATGAATGGAAGGAAGAAAAAGGAAACACAAGATATTGAATGTTTCAGACCAGAGGGATACTGTGATTTATCACGAGGCAGAATATTTAGTTTGGTTTTAATGAAAAGTTGTTTATAAAATGTGGCACCAGGGGCACCTAGGTGGCTCAGTCGGTTAAGCGGCCGACTTTGGCTCAGGTCATGATCTCACAGTCTGTGAGTTCGAGCCCCACATCGGGCTCTGTGCTGACAGCTCAGAGCCTGGAGCCTGCTTCAGATTCTGTGTCTCCCTCTCTCTCTGCCCTTCCCCTGTTCATGCTCTGTCTCTCTCTGTCTCAAAAAAAAATAAATGT